TGGTGCCAGCTACTTGGAAGGCTGAGGTGGAAGGATCCTGAGCCCAGGAGGCTGAGGCTGCCGTGGTTGCAAGCATGCCACTGCACTCCAGTCTGGGCGACAGAATGAGACTCTGACTCAAAAATAAATAAATAAGTGAATGAATGAATGAATAAATAAATAAATCTATTCTAACATGAAAAGTTTGTTTATTATTTTTTCTTTTTAATTTTTTTGAGTTGGAGTCTCACTCTGTCGCCCAGACTGGAATGCAGTGGCCGCTCCTGGCCACCGCAGCCTCGACCTGCTGGGCGCCGGCGATCCTTCCGCCTCAGCCTTCCCAAGCAGCTGGAACTACAGGTGCGCGCTACCACGCCCGGCTGATTTTTGATTTATTGTAGAGATGAGGTCTCACCAAGTTGCCCAGGCGGGTCTTGAACCCGCAGACTCAGGCAATCCACTCACCTCGGCCTCCCAAGGCGCGGGATTACAGGCTGAGCCACCGAGCCCGGCAAAAAGTTCATTGAATACAGATGAGCTACTTTGCTTTCAGATGTCACAGGACATTGGTGGGATGTGGAGATATCAATGTCTGTCCTCTTTGTAACAGCACCTTGGTCTTCACAAGAGGGAAATACCTGGTCTCATGGGAGGTGTTCTTAGGGAAAGGGAATTTGAGGAGCTCATCTCTCTTCCTGGAAGCCATATCTGTTCCCTCTCTTACCCCTGGTAGATACGTGAGCCAGTAGGGGCTTCCTTAGGGTCTTTGCATCACATGTGAGTCTAACATGAGCTGGAGGAGCCTTGGAAGGAACTCCCTGTGACGCGGGGAGAGAGCTCTGAGGGTGCCTGTATCCACACCTGGCATCTTCCCTCCATCAGATTGTGCATGGCCAGGCCTGGTCCCATCTCTTATTCATTCTGGAGGCTCATAATATCCATCCAATAAAACCTTGTGTTTATTTTTTTTTTAATTAGTCACAGTGGGATTTATGGCCTGCAACATAGAACACTATTAGATACACCAGGGTATATTTTACCTGACACAGAATAAGAAGAACCAGGGCGGGTTCAAAGGCTATATTTTTCAAGTGAACTAAGCTCACAGGGTCACTCTCAAGCCCCGTATTACCCCCTAACAAACTTAAAATCTTCTGCAATCGGGCTACTCTAACCACACAAGAATGTCCTCTGAGTCTTATCAATTCCAGACTCACTTATGCCCCTTGTCAAACATTTTTATCTTATTCTCTTGCTGTCTTCCTTATAAGTCTCATCTTGGCAAGAAAATGTCCTTGGTAATAATGTCTTATTCTGAGCTGGTCTTACACCTGGTCACAGTATCTACATGGTGCTTAACAAATTCTTGAGCATTTAGAATGGTAGCAAATCAGCAAAGTACACGTATTTGTTAATAATCAACCATTCATTCATTCAACCAATTTAAGGATGTTCCTGACTTTAAGAAAAGCCCATACTCTTCTGAGATTTGCTCCATCTTTCTTTGCCTTCCTCCTGATTTTTCTGGGCTGTTAGGTATCCAAACTAATGCTTTGCAAATATTTGGCTGTGGTCTTTCATTCAGATCTGAGGACCAGAATTCCTTTGAAACGGACTCCCTGTGGGGAACAGGAAAAGAGGGATAACTGCTGAGGATGTAAGAGAAAGAGCCAAGTTCTTGTTTTCCTTCAGACCCATGATGGGATAATTAGAGACTAGAATGCTTCTGAACTCCCTCTCTGTGGGGGAGGGAAGCAGGATGGGAGCATGTGTGGTGAGTGAATGCAGAAGAAAGGGTTTAAGTGCTGTGGGATGCTTCAGTTGTTCACTTGAAGAAAAACATTTTCTGAAATTAAAGAGACCCTTAGCTGTCTAAGGAATGAAAGTGGTTTGCTTTTCTTTTTCAGCAGATGTCAGCTTTGGAAGACACAAGCAGCAGGACAGAACAGAGTTTGTAAAATGACAAACAACCCTACTAGGGTTTTTGTGTTTTCAAAGGGTAAAACACACATGCACAAAAACACACACACATGAAAGCCCACTCCTGTGCCTCAGCCATGGGACTGCCCTGCCATCCCAGGCACACAAGCCATCAGGGAAGCATGCAGCAGGTGGCCGGTCACTCCCAACCAAGAGTCAAACCGCAGCTGCTGCTTCAGTCCATGATGTACAAATCTGGATGGGCGTCCTCCTGCTGGTGGCAGTCAGTTTTGTCTCCTCTCCACCCTGGTCCTCCTTCCGTGGCCATGAATGTCCTACTGCCACGTGACCTATAAAAGCTGAGCTCAGCTCTGAACGTGTCAGCACTTTCAACACAGAGAGTCCAGGATCACAAGTCACAATTCAGAGACAAGCGCCTGAAGATATTGGGCTGGAGCCTTTGAGTTATTTATAGCAGATGGCCAGACAGAATAGACACACACTAATTCCAAATATTTGGAAGACGTGCTAAATTAGCGTCCAATTGACTTCACTGAAAAAGATATACAGTTTTATTATTTTCTAATTATGGGAATTCAAGCGAAAGGTTAATAATATCGCTAGGCCCAAGTTCACCTCCAGCTGTTTTCATGCACAGATAAGACTCACTCGTAATCAGAGCATTTAAGTATGCAACAGGCACATTATTAATGCAAGCTCTCAAAGAAACAGTGTAGTACCTACCAAGTTCCACACACATTCATGAATATTAACCTCGCTATTATCTTATCTGGTAAGCTGATTTTCTTTTACGGATATCTAATTGATGAACTCTGAACAAATATATTTTTGTTTTACATCCAAAATTTCCAATTGTTGGCTTATGAGTGGAGCCTCCAAATTTAGGGGTTTAAATGCGTTTGCTTCTGAATTTGCAAAGGTTTGGAACTTTAGATCATATAACCAGCACAGTGAGTTTCTCTTGGTTTTGTTACAGATTGCCAAAGATAAAAGCCACCCTCAGGACCTTAATGGGGCATGTTTAGCATGCGATAAATAGTCATGGGATAGAAAACCTTTTGTGAAATTCAATACCACACACACAACTACTTCAAAAAAAAGCTGAATGTGAATCTCATCTCCCAATAGTCAAAGCTTTAGGGGATTTTGGATTTTAACCCTGGGTTCAGGAAATGAACAATCAGTAGTTGTCAAACTAAAGGATGGCAGACAGCATGAAACTGTGTAAGAACAAAGCTCCCCTGTTCAAAACCTTTTGTTTCTGTCAGCAAAATACGTCTGTCTAGAAACAGCGGTCTCCACAAAGGATATTCCCTAAGACCGCTGAACCCAGAAAAGTGAGACACGAAGCCAGCAGACCACGCTGAGGACCTATGACCAGCTGGATGTGGGTCTGATTTCCAAAGAGGGACAGCTGGCAGTGCTAACCAGGGCTGGGTCCCACAGATGTGCGCCTGTGCCCCAAATCCCTGTGGCTAATCCCTGAGAGCACATCTGCCCAAGCCTAAGGTTTCACCGCCCAGGACTCAACCAAGTTCGATCATTAGATTCATGCTGTCCACTAGTTTCTGCTTCTTTGAGTTAAAATTGAAAAGCCATTCCTCATACTAGGTCACAATGAACACAACTGACACATGCCCAGTACAATCAGAACAATGATGCATTTGCTCAAACTCAAACACACTTTCAACATACAAGAAGAAAGTTAAAACACACACACACACACACACACACACACACACACAAAGGTACTAGACAGCCCAGAGGAAGGGAAGCAAGAGAACTGATCACTACTGGATGATCAGTTCAAAAATCCACTTTTCACTGACTTTAAACCTACTTTAAAACCCCACTTTAAAAACCCACATATAAAAAATGTCTTACATATATTAGCACTCCTACTTTCAGGAATCATAACACAAATTTTGCTGTACTGCACTTCAGGTCAAGTTGTTGAATTACATAGATATCAGTGTTAGGATATGTCTAGTCACTCAATAACACTGATACTCAATAGATGATGTCATCAAACTTGCCTGTGTTTAAAACCAAACTAAATGAAAATGATATAATAAAAATATAATCAAGGCAAGGTAAGTAGCTTCTCTCATATGTTATATTTCAAAGAGAAAGCTAGCCCGTATTTATTTTAAAGTACACAGTACTTATTTTAAAAGTCTTGTCTTTGGTATGTTCTTACATAAGAAACTCAACAAATTCTACTGTATATTCTTCACACGTTATGCTCATTTATTTTTTTGAACACTAAGTTCTATTTCCAGGGAGAAACAAAATGATAACTTTGAGGTTGGTACCATCTTATACTTAGAACTTACATGTTTGGAATATATTTGAGTTGGCAAAACCCAGTTCTCCATTCTGACAACTGTTGCAATCGCATTTTCAGGCTTAGCTCAACTGTGAGGCATTTAACTCTCCCGTTCTGAAATGACTCCTCCTGGATAACTTCTGCCTCCCTAAAACTTGCTGGTAATACCCTAAGTTAAAGCCAAAGGCACACTACCAGCAGCCCCCTGGCTGCTCTGTTGATGACTTGGGAAATGTATTCATAAGAATACTTTCACAACCATATTGGCAACCCAGAAAGAGCAAACTGGCCCCTGTGTTTTACAGTGCAGATGGAGTCTAAGAATTTTTTTTTTTTTTTTTTTAATTGGAGTCTCACTCTGTCGCCCAGACTGGAGTGCAGTGGCCGCTCCCGGCCACCGCAGCCTCGACTTGCTGGGCTCCAGCGATCCTTCCACCTCAGCCTTCCCAGTAGCCGGAATTACAGGCATGCGCTACCACGCCCAGTTGATTTTTTGATTTATTGTAGAGATGAGGTCTCGCCAAGATGCCCAGGAGGGTCGCGAACCCGCGGGCTCAGGCAGTCCACTCACCTCAGCCTCCCAAAGGCGCAGGATTACAGGCTGAGCCACCGAGCCCAGCTGGAGTCTAAGAATTTGAAGGCTGGCTCTTCCTTAGAGATTGATAACCGCTCTTTTGATCAACCCGTGGGCTTCCTGAAAGTACCACCTGATCTTCGAGCTGGCCGAGACAGACATGCTGAACCAACTTACCTCAATGTGAAGCGATCCTCAGTAGAGGTTTTGGAGATGGAAACGGGGAAAGTCAGCACGTCTCCTGGTCTCACCGTCTTTGGTATATAATGAATGGCCACGTTGTTGTCTAGACGCAGCTCTCGCAGGGAAGGTCGGCCGCGGGTCTGGTAAAGAAAGACACTCCCAATTCTCTGTAAGGGCGGCCCAGACTCATCGATGTCATTGTGGCCTGTCCGAACCCCGTTGCTCTTCCTGGAGTCTCCCCTGACACAGTCCCCCCTGTCATCGCCAGGCTGCACGGTGTAGTAGAGTTCCACAGGAGTCCCCTCCGTCTGGTCCACGAACTTCTTCCTCCCTGCAAAAACCGTCGGAGGGCTGAACCAGCCAGGCGGGAGCTCCAGCTCGGCCACACACAGCCCCAGGGCCCCCTTCAGCCGGCAGCTGCCCCTCACCTCTCTGGTCTCCCGGAAAGCAAAGACCCTCAGGCAGGGCAGCCTCTCCCCGGCGCTGTGGTCATCCCAGTCTCTACCCACGAGGTAGAAGAGGATTTGCACCCTGGGCCGGCTCAGGTAAACTTTGCCCCGTAGGATGTAGGCTTTGAGCTTCCAGTTCAGAGAAAATTTGTTGGTGAACCCAAATGGGTTGGAAGGCAGCATTAAGTCCTGGGGCACCACTTGCTCAATGGAGAAAGGCCCATAGCTGGCATTCAGAACAGGCAGCCTCTTGGCTTTGTAAATCAGAAATGATTCCACCCGGGACTGCAGGCTGGAGTTCCTCATGATGTCCTGGTTGGCTTCCTTGAGGAAGAAGGAGACATCGGCGTTGTTGATGTGGTAGGTCACAGGCAGGTAGGTGGGCAGCAGGGAGAATCTCTGGATACTCTCTAGGATGCCTCGACTCTCCGTCACTGTTGGGAGGAAAGTAGATTCAGTGTTAGTGCCTCAACGGCCCTCTGACCCACACTTCCGATGTCAGCGTGCCCCCTTCATAATGGATTGCCCCACTGCCATGCCAATGATGCGGTTCTTTATCTAAAATGTATTTAAATCAACTCACTTGAGAGTAAATACATTCGTTTTAGAAGAAATGAATGCCACTAACGTAAGTCAGAAATCTGTATCATCAGCCATACACAGAAATTGAGCGTGCAAATAAATACAATTCAAACAAAATAATGTTTTTAAATTTCGACTCCCGGTAACAATGCCTTTAAGGAGATCATGCCTAAGACTTGCTCTTTTTTTGTTAAAAGGAGAGATTAGTAAATGTTAGAAAGGTGTTGAGAACAAGCTAGCATCAACAGAGAGGCATCTTTTTTTTTTTTTTTTT